TATATAACAATCACAAAGTATTGTATGAGCCACAAGCAAGCTAGGTTAGGAGAGGTGTATTTTAATATTTAACAGCAGTTATTCACTGACCTGCCAGTGTGCAAATGAACATGTTCTTAAGGTATTTCATCTTGTAGGAGTAAAACAAAACAGCAGTTAATCACTGACCTGTTTTTAAAACACTTTCTATTAGCTGACTATTTATCATGAGTAGAACAAAACAACAGTTAATCACTGACCTGTATTTGTACTACCTCCTAGTATATGTCTATTTATTATTTATAGAACAAACAGCAGTAAATCACTGACCTGTATTTAAAATACATCTTAGTATCTACTGTCTATCATGAGTGGAACAAAAAAATTAAACACTGACCAGCATTTGAACTATCGGTACATTATTGAATCCATTTTAGAATCTGGCTATCCTTTGGGGAGTAGAATAAAATCTATATGTTTGAGGTTTAGTAATTTAAGCAAACTTAAATTTTGCAATTTCTACCTTGTGATGAGTGATAGTGTCCTTGAGTATTACACAAGGTCAGTAAAATTTTTTTTTTTTATGCTAAACCTTGAATTATTTAATTTTCTCTATTTATACTACTTTTAACTGTTTATTTTCAATTTGTAATTTAAAGATTTGAATTAGAAATTGAACATGGAGGATCATACCATGCATCCAGACAGTATGAATGTTTTACAAGGTGAAGGTTAATATTATTATGATCTTAAGCAAATTGTGAATATAATGTGAACTTCCTAAATTATACGAATCTTATAAATAGCATCTACAGGGAACTTGAAAGTTGAAATATGAGTATAAGAAATATTAAAATTAAGATTGCATGGAAAGTGGCCTTTATTTTAAAACTAGGAATTTAAAGTTTTTAAAGTTTAAAATTTATTACTAAAGGCATATACAAAGGAATTTAATTGGGGGGTTAGGTATACCAAAGCCTATTTAAGCCATCGATAAAATATTTTCTTGCAAGATACATAACCCATGATTTTATTTGTAAGAATACCTTGTTTTATGACAAATTCCCACCCTATAGATTATGTTTATTAATAAAGACATTTATTTTTAATTTGTTGTATTAAAGGAAAATAATCTTGATTTGTCATTTCCCAATTTGCCATTTTAATCTTGTTTCCCAAAAACAAGATTACTCATTCCTTTGACTGGACTATCCTAGCATATAGAGTGGATTGTGTACCTGTTGAAGGGCATATCCCTCCCATAAGTATTTAAAACTGAAGAAGTGAGAATCTTATCCTTAATTTAGTAAAAGTGAGGTCAGTTGTATAAGGGGATCTTTTGTGATGTGGATAATTAGAATCTGCATATAAAATTTGCTTGCTGACTCACCTGCAAATTTTTTTAAAAAAATTTTCCCTGATCTAGCTAGTATAGATGCTTTCTCAACCAATGTTAGTGGATATCCTGGTCGTTCAGCTGATTTAGGGCATATCCATGGCAGCAATGCTGCAGTTTTGCTGGCACATACATGTATCTGCATCTTATATAAGGTTATTGCATTTAAAGTCAAAAGTGTCAACCAAGTTTTGAACTTTTAAATATAGGTATAAAACATAAAATTCACGGCACCAGGCACAGCATCATTTGGTTCCCCAGGCATGGGATTATCTCAGTTCCCCCCTTTAAATGGAATTAGTGGAATGTTATGATGAGGGTTGTTAAATTTTTTCCCGAGGATCTGTGTTTTTACCATTGTTCGGGATGTACACAATGTACTTAAAAGTTAATCTTTTTTTTTCATAACTCATCCAAATACAAAGTGCTCACCTTAAAATTGGGGAACAAAATTAGGTCTACATGAGAAACAATGCAACAACAAAAAAGGAAAACCCTTAGGAAATGAGCAGGTCCTGCACAATTATTATAAATATGATAAATGTTTGGATAATTCAGGATGACTTAATATTGGCAACAATCTGGAATATACCAAAAGGACATATCAGAAGAAATATTAAGAACTTAGAGTATATATATGAATCCCCTACAGGGAACAATACTTTGTATGAATTTTTCCAGTGTCATCTCATAGATATTTCTTACTTAACAGGTATATAACTAAAACATGAGTAAACATTAGAACTCTAAAAAAAAGGCATATACTGCCAGTAAACAAGATGGATTAAATAACCAATAGTTTATCGTAAAAAGTTTTGTCCCAAAACAATAAAAATATATGGAACTTTGACCCTTATGTACATAAAACTCTAAACTGATGAAAATATGTCAAGAGCAATTAACAAAGAATCTCTGCCTCATTCGTACATGTAAATTTCCTTTAAAAACAAAGTGTTACTGGATTCAAATATCAAAGCTGTTATCAGAAAATTAAAGGGCATAGGCATATGGGTAAATTTTAAACCCATGGATCAGTCAACATATCTGTACATTAATGACATCAACTTTAGCTTCACTAGAAAAAAACCGTGCAAAAGTCAGATTTGCTTTATAAACACAATTTGAATGTCATTTCGAGCAATTATCAATCAACACTAAAAGTAACTTTACCCATTGATCAAGTTGTTGTCATTATAAGCGAATAATAATAATAATTATAAAAACAATAGGGGAAAAACCCATTCAACTATTAACAGATATGATATGCTACAACAGATGCAAGTTGATTGTAATTAGAGGCAGCCTACAATCAACAAAAAAGGGGCAATTGATTGTCATTATGAGCAGACAACAATAAACTTACCTATCAATAAACAATATAGGAAACTCTAACCCAACAATTAATAAACAATATGGGTAACTCCCCGCCAACAAAAGACAATAAAAATAGGGAACTCTGATTAACAATAAACAATATGGGGAACTCTGACCCAACAATAAGTAAACAGTAGGGTAACTCTGACCCAAAAAGACACTATGTTTAACTTCGACCCAACAATAAATTAGCAATATGGGAATTCCGACCCAACAAAAAAGTATAGATAACTTTGACGCATCAATAAACAATAAAGGTAACTCCAACCCAACAATAAACAATATGGGTAAATCGGACCCAAACAATAAACAAAATAAGTAACTCCGACCCAACAATAAACAATATGGGTAACATTACCCAACAATAAACCGAAAACCTTCATACGACCCAATTGATTGTCAGTATGAGCATCCAACAACAAAACAATATGGGTAACCCCATCCCAAAAAATAAACAATATAAGTCGAAACCCCAAAAATTAACAATATGTGTATCATCGACCCAACAATAAACCGAAAAGCTTCATACGACGCCAATTGATTGTCAGTATGAGCATCCAACAATAAAACAATATGGGTATACTGACCCACAGGGAAAATTACTGTGTACCAAAACCAAACAAATTTGGGGATACTGACCCAAAAGGTAAAATATTGTGTACCAAAACCAAACAAAATATGGGGATACTGACCCAAAAAGGGACAAATCTACTGTGTACCAAAACCAAAAAATTTGGGTATACTGAACCAGAAGGTACAAATCTACTGTGTACCAAAACCAAACAAATTTGGGTAACACCCAGAAGGTACAAATCTACTGTGTACCAAAACCAAACAAATTTGGGTATACTACCCAAAAGGTACAAATCTACTGTGTACCAAAACCAAACAAATTTGGGTATACTACCCAAAAGGTACAAATCTACTGTGTACCAAAACCAAACAAATTTGGGTAACTACCCAAAAGGTACAAATCTACTGTGTACCAAAACCATTAAAATTTGGGTATACTGACCCAACATGTACAAATCTACTGAGTACCAAAAATAAAAATAAAGGTAACTATGATCCAATAAGTAAATATCTACTGTGTACCAAACAATATGGGTAACTTTGACTCAAAGGAAAACCTTGTACCAAAACAATAAACAACTTAAGCAACACTGATCAAAGAGGTACATATCAACTTTTTATCAAAAGAATAAACTTGAAAGAGTAATACTGATCCCATTAGTACATAATTATTAACTTTGTACAATGTACTAAACAATCAACCACTTGCGTAACACCGATTCAATTTGTAAGTATCAACTTTGTATCAACAGTAAACCATAAACAACTCCAACCCAATAAGGACATAAATTATCCACATGTACCGAAATGATGAACATCTTGAGTAATCATGTAAATATTGTCTACACCAACCAAATTAGTACATATGCCTTGACTACATAGTACATGTACAATATCCATTCAATATTTATCAATAGACAAAACATGAAATGTTACATATAAACTTTGTACCAAAACTGATCAAACAATAATGGCAATTCAAGAAATACCAAAAATAGTAACCATCTGAACTATGTACATAAAAAACTCAGTCCACAACCTTAAACTCCAAAGAGTGAAAATGAGATAATACCTGTATTAACATGATTACAATACACATTTCTCAACTAACCTTACAAGATAGCTGACATTACCTATTAGATGCCTGTTAAGGAGGGGCATGGTTAAAATGAAAGTGCCTAAGCTGTTTTTAAAATGTTAAAGCAAAAAAAGAAAAATGAAACTTATGGGAACTCCCTTTTAGTTTAAAAAAACTTTTTAAATTTTTAACTTAAAAACTTACACCATAGAGTATACATGATTTAGTTTTATTATTAATTAACCAATACCTTTTAATAATTGAAAGTGATATTAACTTATACACACAAAAACATTTGGAAACCCCAAGCTCGTTATGTATAATTGTAAATCACTTATAAAGTAAACATAATACTGGCCTTCGTCCTCAATTACATGGGGAAGCAAACCCCTTTTACTTACCTGGAAGGTGAAGTTTGACTGTAATTTCTTCGACCCAATAGGGTGCCGAGGGATCAAATGAGATGATAATGTTACCGCGTGGTTCATACTTCAGAGCACAAAAATTTGGATTCGTTTAAAAGAAATTTTTCAGGGTGGGGTAATTAAAATATTCTTCTGTTTTATTTTAAATGAAACATTTTGAATTTATGGGTTGGGCATTTGATCCCTCGGCACCCTATTGGGTCGAAGAAATTACAGTCAAACTTCACCTTCCAGGTAAGTCTCGTTTAACTTTCTAATTTCTTCTCCCCTAGGGTGCCTCTGTCTCAAATGAGACTTTAGAGATAGAATTCAAATTTTGTTGGTACTATACAGAAAATAACACTAACTATTATTTACTATTTCTGATAGTTTATATCGAGAATACAGTCAATGATCAAAACATTTTTACAACAGTATATGACTTTCATTTACAGTTATCTAAGAGCCTTTTGCTCATCTCTACATCTAAACTAACAGGTTTGTTATAATACTTTCTGAACACAGAGTCTTTTGTCCAGCCAACTGTTCGGATAATTGTATCCACTGGAATTCTAAGCGCGCATGCTGTGCTGGCGGACGCTGATCTCGTACTGTGAGGCTTGAACATCTTGACATCGATACCAGAATTCTGCAACACAGTTTTCAACCATCGGCCGATGGTGTCTCTAGACACGGGTTTATGGGGCCTTTGTGATGTAATAAACAGAGTTGTTACTGAGGCCCGCAAAGGTTCCGTACGCTCAAGATAATGTTTCATTGTAATGACAACACATAAATCCGCGTCTATGCTATAACTGGAAAGATTCAGTTCTCCGAGATGCCTTTTTGGATTCGAAGTTTTAAGTAAATCACCAATTGTTACTTTCACATAATCTGCAGTAATGTAAATGTTTCTTACATCAATAAGATGAAGTGTTTGTCCACGTTGGCCTGACAATAGTGCTAATAACATCAATAATTTCTGTGATAATTGTAACAATGACAAAGAAGACAATGGAGATAAAGATTTCAAATATTTCAACACAACATTCACATCCCAGGTCACATTATATCTAGGTAATGTGGGTCTCAACACAAATACACCTTTCATAAATCTGCGGATTAAAGGGTGAGTGCCTATATTCAATTCATTATTTAATTGCAAGAATGAAGATAATGCGCATCTAGCGCTATTTAAACAACTATAACCAATTCCTGAATTAAACAAATCTGTTAAAAAGGATAAAACATTATTTACAGTTGTTTCAAAAATATTAATTTCTCTTTGATTACAAAATGACACCCATTTTTTGATATACGTCCTATACTGTTTTTGAGTTGATTCTCGCCAGGAAGATAGCAAAATGGCCTGAGTTTCATTTGATAATCCTCTACTTTGGAAAGATTCCCTGACACACGGAAGACGCCAAGTCTCATTTTCCGCAGCGGGTGGCGCTTTTGGGGCTTTCCCGGCATTAACAGAAGATTGTGATTGTGAGGTAGCAGGTAGCTGTCCATGCATATTAATTGCAGTAGGCGCGGGAACCAATGCTGGGTCGGCCATATTGGCGCAATTAATATCGCCTCCGCTCTGTCGGTCATTATCTTTTGAAGAACAGTCCCTATCACACTGAAAGGAGAGAATATATAGCACATTAAATCACTCCAATTAAGACTAAATGCATCAATTGCTTTTGCATTTTTATCTGGTCGAAAGGAAACATAAGGTTTGAACTGAAAATTGTTTTTTGACGCAAACATATCAACGTCGCATTTCCCAAATTTTTTCTCAATTTTAAGAAATATTTGTTTGTCCAACATCCATTCTAAGTCATCATTTTTCTGACGGGATAAGTAATCCGCTTCCGTGTTTTCTGAGCCTGCAATGTGATTTGCCGAAAGCCATATATTTCTACTCATGCAAAATTCCCAGATATTTATTGTGAGGTTGTTTAGTGACTCAATCTTTCCACCCATTTTGGAAATGTATGTGACCGCTACTGTGTTGTCCATATAGAGTTTAACATGACTATCATGAAAATCATTACAAAACTTTGTTAGCGCAATAAATCCTGCTTTGAGTTCTAAGTAGTTAATATGATGTTCTTTTTCTTCTTCTGACCATTCTCCTTGACATCCCTCTCCGGTAGTTTCATTGAAAGCACCCCACCCCGTTAGAGAGCTATCTGTTTTTATAACTACACTGGGATTTTCAATGTTATATAAATTTATTGACATTTTTGATCCACCATTCAATAGTCTCTTTGCTTGTCACAGATATATAAATTTTTGCCTCAAAATTGCCGGCATTTGCTTTTAAAAATTTATCTTTTTCGATTTCCAGCACTTTGTAGTACAGTGGTGCATAACGGACCCCGGGTTCACTTGACACTAATTTGCCAATTAACTGTGACAACTCTCTTATCGTTACTTTATGCAGATTAAGGATTTCTTGGCATTTTTCTCTTATCGAATCAGCACGCTCCTTAGTTAAAGTAACTGACATTAATTCAGAATTTATCACAAATCCAAGGAACTGAATAGATTTTGTTGGTGTAAACACAGATTTCTCAATGTTAATTGTCAACCCAAGACTATCAAGAAGATTTGCTGTTTCTGAAATATTATCCTTACACTCAGAATATGTTTTACTGATTAATAACGAATCGTCAATGTAAGCTACATTGGTGTGTCCTCGTTTCCGTAAGGTAGAAAAAGCCGGTTTCAACATTTTAGTAAAAATTCTCGGGGCTGATGCTAATCCCATGGCAAGACACGTGTATTGATATTTTGATCCCTTCCAATAAAATCTTAGAAATTTTCTATCATTTTCATCAACAGGACATGAATAATATGCGTCCTGCAGATCTATTGAACCGAAAAAACAATTTTCCGACACAAGTCCTAAGGCTGCCGTAAATGTTTCCATTTTGAAATGTTGATATTCTATAAATTGGTTTAATTGTTTTAAATTGAAAAACCAAGAATTACTCTAAATTTTCCATTTTTCTTTGGTCTCACAAAAATGTTTGATATAAATTCATCATTGTCATCACCTGTAGTGACAAGTTCAATAATTCCCTTTTTTAAAAGCTCACCAATTTCATTGTCTATTATAACTGAATCTGTGTCGTTAAATTTGATTGGTTTTGGAATAAAAGTCTGTGAGGGATCTGAGTCAAATTCAATCGAGTAGCCATTAACAAAGCTAAGAATATTAGTGTCACTCGTGATTAACCTCCAATTTCCAAAATAATTGGATATTTTTTCCCGCTGAAAAATTTTCAGAAGTGTTTTCAAATCTACTCACATTTCTATCTGCATGTTCTGTAGGAGCTATTGCTTCCTCTGTTTGTTTGCTGGAGCAGTTCTCTTTTTGTAGTTTGATCCCCAGCGTTGGCCTAAAAAATTACTGGCCTTGTAGATTCCATAATTGGATGATTTCTGCATGTGTCCATGCTGTTTGCGGTTATGATTTCCGCGCTTGTCAATCTTGTTAAATCCCGATATTTTGGATCCCACTTTGTTGGCCTTTAACAGGTCGAGGAAACTATTTTCTGTGACGTTTTTTACATGTAAAGTGAGGAACCAACGTGACTGTTCAGCTCAATGATTTGCATTATGGTCTACTACAAAAAACACACGTGTGTTTCTAAAAGGCCAATTTTTTAAGTCGCTCTGCCAAGCATGTATGTTCATTATCTACTGATTCCATGGAATTAGCTCCATTTGCTGTTTGTTGACTGTGTGTCAGTTGTTTCACGTGCTGTTCTCTTTTATGAATGTTTGATCCCCAGCGTTGTACTAAAAAATTATGTTTTCAATGTGCATGATGGTTTATATAACAGGTAAATTAAAAAAAATGCAACTTAAATTTTTCTTGTTATAAAATGCTAGTTTTAATTTCTTGTAACAAATAACTGAGCAACAACTCTATAAATTTAACCAGTTACATGGCACATTAACGAATATCGAGTTAAAAAAACTTGAATCTTATTTACTAGTGAAGACTTTGAGAGCGGTATTTCAAAGTTCTATTTAACTTACTTTGTTTGTTAATGTGAGCATGGGGAATCTTAATAAGTGCCCAATCTTCGTATTTTTCATGAAAAATAAAAAAAAATGTTATGATTTCCGCAGCTTGTTCAAACTTGTTAAATCCCGATATTTTGGATCCCACTTTATTGGCCTTTAAGATGTCCTCAACTTTTTTGCCAAGGTCGTCACCAAACAACTTGTCGGTGACAGGATATTCGTTAGAACACAATGCCCGGAATTCTTCGTTCTTCTCGGGTTGAATGATTAGTTCTCTTCTCCTGTTTGACAGGTCGCAATAGACATAAGTCATGAGTTTCAGACTGTCCATTGCTAAGGTAGTGAGCTCTTTCATGGAGGGTGTCTCTCCTTTTTGTTTTGCATTTAGCAGCAAATTAATTTGTTGTAGTTGCGGGACAATGGCTTTTCCGACAAGTGTCTGGGTTCTTTGTATCCGAATGTCTTGGCCTCGGACTTTGCGGCTCAAATGAGCTCGGATTTCCTCATTTAATTTTGGAGTGACAAGATTCTGCACATTTTTAGGTCGGTTATATTTGTCGCTCACTTCCTTTATTTTGTCAGAGTCTACTACCGTTCGAACGCCATCATTTGTTACTTTGGCGAGTTTTTCGTGTATTGCTTCGCCACACTTATCCTCTGAGCCGAAACATTCGGCCAGCTCATCAAGCAAATGATCACAATCAGTGTCCATGTCTTCATTTGTCTCATTTAAAATGTCATCAAACTCGTCTCTCTCTTCATCAGAAACGTCACTTAGTTCTACGCGCGACTTAGATGTACAAGGTTTTTCATCCGAGTCTTGAATCTTGCGCTTCGTTCCCTTGTTCTCTTGTAACTCGCTCACAGTAGTTGTAAGTGACAAAATGTTCTTTTGCATCTCTTTCATCATATTGATGATGGATGTATTGTCTTTCCCTCCCTCATCCTTTTGTTCACTGAGGGACTTTTCAACAGGCTGACACTCCGAGTTTACACTCATTTTTACTGTATATACAGTTTTTCTAAAATGCGTCTATACGCAAATTCAGCGTCTATACGCTATATAATGTCATAAAAGACATAAATGTTGTTGACATATACAATGTTATTACAATGTATATCACAAAGTCACAAATCACAAAACTTTTAACTAATTCCAATTGAAACAAAAGAAACTGAATTTACGTCTGATTCCAAACCACGCTAACTTATCTATGAACCACGCAGTAACCTTATCATCTCATTTGAGACATGAGATGACCTGTGGGCCTCTTAGGGTCTTGGACCTCTTGTTTAGAACATACCAAACAATTGAAAATAATTCTAAATAATCCCTATTCACTTCAAAATTATTCAAGGTTTTACTTTGGAGAATTGAGTTTTCACAGAACAGAATACTTATATATCAGTACTATTGCATACCTCTTTCATTTATTTAATATTATTATATTGAAAACAACACAATGATGTGTTTCACTGGAGATATTTGATTTTCTTCACTTTTCTGTTTCCACACTGAGCAACAAACAGATTGTCATTTGTATCTATACACAGTCCCCAGGGTCTACTCAGTCCACAGTCTATGTAATGGAGGAACTGTCCATCCTGGTCTATGATGTGGACACAGTCATTGTTAATATCAGCTGTAAGGATGTGACTCTGACTGTCTGTGGTGATTCCTTGTGGATAGAATGGTCGGTTCTTTAGAGTAGGAGTATGTCCAGTGTATCTGAATCTCAGTTTCCCGGCCTGATTGACCACCACTACTGCATTAGCTCTATTGTCAGACACACAGATATCCAGGTTCCTGTTCTCAGTAATGTAGTATGTGTAATAAAGACCACATGAATAGACAGATTTACCTTTATCATCAAACTGAATGGTTTGTTTCTCTGTGGAGCCAGAGTAACGGGCAAGTTTTGTTTGCTTGTTATCATCACTGTCCATGATAACAAGGAGGTCACCAGGGGAGGTACTGCAGACACCGTGAGGTATCCAGTTCTGTTGTCTGATCACCTCCTCTATCTTCTCATTCTTCACAATGTTCACAGTTCTATTATTGTAATCAGCATAAACTAGATCTCCACTTTTCGTCACTGCTATGTCCTCCCATGGTCTGTTCCCTGACTTGGTTGTGATTGACTTGAGTAGTGATCCCTGATTGATGCTGTAGAGTTTCATGGTGCTGTCAATTCCACTTGTCCAGATTTCTTCATCACTCAGACAGGCCACATTGTAAAGTTGTCCATACCCAGTGTCTATGGTGGTGACAGTCTCTGGTTCATCAAGCAGCTGTTTGACTGGAGGAGAGGATCCAGCTTCTGGTGATTTCTGTGTTGTCTTCATGCTGTAGCCATTTTTATCTGAAGTAAAAGAACTCGATGATAAGGTGCCAAACAGTTTACAAAGTTCTTCATGGATTTTTCCTGGTATGAATTCGGGTAAAGACACTGTAATTTTGTGTGGAAGATTTCTGTATATTTGTACATTGGGTGTGACACTAAATAGTTCTGACAAGTCATTAGTGTCTATTGCTATTTCAAGTGAATGAATTTCATCCTTGATGTCAGACATTGTCTTGTTTATTTCATCCAGATGTTTCTGTAGAGTTTGTAACTGTGTGTTTTTCATCTCATCAATTTCAGCTTTAAGTTTCTGGACAAGTTTGTCAATTTCTCTGTGCCAGTCCTCTCCATGTTTTGTTATGGCTGTTGAGAGATCTCCATATTCCTTTTCTAACTGACTGATTCTGTTTTGTACATCAGAGGCAATGTCCTGGTGGGTGGGATAAATTATATCATTTAATTCATTTCTCTCTTTTATAATAATATTCTTCTTTTCAGTCAGAACTCGCACGATTTTAGATAACTCATGACCTAAATGTTGATTAGATTCAATGCAGTCGCTGCAGACAGGAATATAACATTGTTTACAGTACATAATGCATTGTTCTTTGTTATGAGATGTACATATAGGGTAGAGTGGAGTGGATTTCCTGTCCTTGAAGTCCACAATTTTATGAGGTTTTGAGAAATCAACAGAAAAGTGTTCTCCCACACAGGCCTTACACAGGTTGACAAGACATGTATCACAGTGCATCTGTACCACAGCGATCTCACACAGGTCACATCGCATCACGTCCTGGGCACTGGTACGGGGGTCCATCATTAGACTTTAAGCATAAAGAAATTCAGCATTAATGAGAAACATACAGATTTGAGGGCAACAATTGTTTTCAATTGTTTGATAGAACAGAAAATAAATTGTATATCTGAGACCATTAAGCATGCAGAAATTTTTTGTCTTCAGATAATCACATGCATGTATAGCGATAGTCAAGACGTCATGTTCAAGATTATATTGTTTACATAGCTAAAGCACACATTACTGAATTTTCAAAATTTGCAAAAAGTTGAAGTTACTGCTCTGTTTATTACCTGATTTTAATAATGGTGGCCGTCCTGTCTCTTTATCTCTGTATACTCTGATCATGTGACACACCTGCATTATCTAGTCTTTCTCTATGGACTGATCATGTGATATACCTGTGTTATCTACCTGTCAGGTGATTTTACTTCTTGGTCTATGAAGGGGATTTAAACACCTTTCATGCAATGTTTCTTTGCAATGCAGCTTTTTATATATAAATAATGCACTTTATGAGAATTTGACAGTCATCATAATTTTCTACTGTAATTAAACATAGTAATTAAGGGACATATAATGCTACGTACAATCTACTCTTGATTTTAAATTGAAGTCCCATAAAATGTTCTTAAACACAAAATTAGCTTTCAATACCAGAATTAAGTTTTGACCAGATATATAAAGATGAAAATGCTAGAATTTTTTCAGATAAATGAACATAAATATAGTTTTAGTTGGTATTTAAAAAATTGACTTAGAGGGGTTGTAAAGTACATGTATTACCAGACAGCACAAAATTCAAATACCGGTAGGTCATTCTATATCTCGAACATAAATTTAACAAAAAATAAGAACATTCAAATATAAAAAAAAACTTTGTAGTGTTTGTCCAGTAAAAACAGATTTTTAAAAATGTTCTCAAACTTTATTTGGAAAGATGTGGACTCCATTGTATAGATATGAATATACATAAACATAGGTAATCAGAGATTACAGAGCTCACCTCAACGAATGTTGTCTTTAAGTAAAGCAAAGTCCCACAATTAACCAACAAAAAGGGTACATCCAAAAATTCAAAATTTAAGCAATTTGATCTGATACTTTGTAATAGACCTATATAAAAACTTCAGACTAGTTTTTCATCACAAAAATGTAATTAAAATCCAGCATCTGAAGCAAGTTTATTATTAAATGATGATGAAAGGTGCCTCATCCAAAATGGTTAAT